ATACATTTGTAAATAAAGACTTAAGATGATGACTAAATTTTATTGAACTTACAAAAATATGTATATTACGTTTTAAATTATAATAATACTTGATATATATACATTTAATTTAAAGTTATAGTTTTGCACAGGTCATTAAATTTGGCTAGACTGAATGTTGAGAATTTAGAAGCTATTGTATTCTACTTGACCATATTATCTTGAGAATTAGATACAATATTAATGAACTAAAAGTTTGTTGTCGGTTAAAAGCAGCATCTTCCAAATTTATTATTATACGCAGACAGACGTGACAGTCCGGTGTTATTGTGAACGTGAGCCGCATTATTATAACAGAGGAAGCCATTTGGCTTGGATCTTATATATAACAATATTCAATTTCCATAGTTTGGTTGCATTAATTAGACGACCTTCGTAGCCTAGTGGTGCGCACGCCGGTTTGAAGGTATCTGTGGGGTCCCGGCTTCGACTCCCGGTATGTATTATGCAGATACTGCATAATACAGGTATTTTAGCTATCTATGAAGTGTTGTCTAATATACTAGTATATTCAGAAATAATTTGTATCGAGGAAGATATAGACTCCGTACATTTACTCTCTAAACTCTATGTGTAAAGAGACATCTATTTTTTATGAAGAAATGAGTATGTTTCTTTCCATCTTTTACTGATTTCTTATTGTATCATTTTTGGATCATCAGCGTTGTTCTATTGAATGATCATAGCATAGGAATAGAATTGAATTAGCACAATTATTTTCGTAATTTTCAAGTAACACTTATTTACATACCTTACATAAATTATATCACTTTCTTTTAAGTAATAATTTGATAAAGTTTTAAATGTTGTTGTAATTATTTAAGAAATTGTAAATTATGTACACGTTGATGGGTAAAGGCACTTTTCACTTGCGTTTCTCGTAAATTTTTTTACGATTGCCATTAACTCGCGCGCCGCCAGCACGCGACTCATAAAATGCATTCAAGGGGTCCGAATGCCATCAACCCGCGACAGTTTACGAGTCCAAGGGGTATTTTATGATATGGGGGTGGGTTTTAATTATTTAACAAACTGCCACAGTCTAATTAAGTTTGAGGTTTTAATTGTGCTTTTATTTGCACGTGGATGGAGGCTTTTTTCTTGTCCTTTTTAATTAAGTTACCACGTTTGTGCGACGTAGTGGCTCTTCAGGGAGAGTCGAGTATGTCTGTTTCTTTTTTTCATTCAATTATGAATAAGAAAGTTATTCAAATTGCATGTTTTTATATTTTATAGTGTTTTTAGTTTGCGGTCTATCTTGTCTTAGTAATATTACTTATACTTTAATGAAATAATTGTGTTCTATAGTAATAAGCAGTTAAAGAGACTTTTCTTCATAACCATAGGGTTATACTAGGAAAAATAGGATATCACTAGTTCTAATTTTAACAGTATTTACAGATAAACTTTTACAGTGCTGCTTATAAACAAGGTTTAGTGTTGGAGTAAATTTAAGCTGAGACTGCACTATGTATTAGTCAAAATTCATATTATTAAATAGAGATTATGCAAAGGTTAACATAGTACGAGGTTTTAGGGGAGTAATATTTTCTCTTTTATATTATTATAATCTATTATTATAATCTTAGGATTAGGAACTCTTTGAGGGAGAAATTTAAGGAAATAGGCATAATGACTGTTGCTTCTCAATACATATACGAGAACTTAATGTACGTTCGTAAAAATATTAGTTTGTTTTCTATAAAAAGTGATGTACACAATATTAATACAAGAAATAAAAATATATTAACGGTGCCTGTCACTAGACTACAAAAAGTTAATAACACATTCAGGGGTCTTTGTGTGCGCTTCTACAATAAGGTCCCGAGCAAAATACAACAATTAGATATCATGCAGTTTAAATCTACTATTAAAATAATACTTATTAATAAAGCTTACTATAAGGTATCCGATTATATAACAGATAAGAATGCTTGGACATGAGATGATCCAGCAACTGGATAGGTGATTACTTCTTAACTCATTATATATCAAAAATTATCTTGCTTCTATTATTATTAAATGATTATGTAATCATTATAAGACCATAGTTTCTTTTTTTTCTATATTGATCTGGTAATGACATGGTTTTTGTAAATGTCATTACTCCTATTAGAGCTGGTGAGTTTCTTGCTCGTTCTTCTTATCAGCCAAAAGACGTCCTGAACGAGCGGTAGGGAAAAATGTTGGACGATTCAAAAGTACTTTTAAGAAGTCTATTTGAATAAAGATTATTTTGACTTTTGACTTTTGTACTCTTAGAAGGTAGTAGATTTGCTTATTCTCTGTGTAATACGTATGAATATGGACTAATAATAAAATTGTAATTTTATCGTAAAGTGCTATTAATAAACAAAGTTTAACGTCAGAGTAATGACGTTAAACTTTGTTTATTAATAGCACTGTAAGTGTTTATTGATTTTTAGTTATCGCTAGCCACGGCTTAAAATATCAATACAACTTTACCAGTCTGAATATTGGGACTCCTTACATTGCAACTCTAATCTCGCTCAACAGCTCAGTAAAGTAGCTTTCAAAGCGTTTGCCGGGGGCTCGCGCCATAAAATTTTACGAGCGGTTGCTATGGTAACGCGCCGTCATTACCCGCTTTAGTTCACCCGAGCGCCGCAGTGGCGCTATACACTACTGAGTTTTCTATAAAAACTTTTTTATAGCCAAACACATAAAAGGTATGAATAATTTGTTGGAAGTAATTACTATATTATGTTACATTGGAACACGAAAACACTGAAATAGTTAATACCTTCACAGTATCCTCATAGACGGTTTAGTTTATGGACTTTTAGGAAATTATTTTATCTGTAGGTGTAATGTATTTGATCATACCTAATAAGATCAGTGTATATACGAGGGTCAAACTGAAAGTTCTTAGAAAATCAAAAACTGATTACATTAGCCAGTTATTAGTTTTATTATATCTTTTCAAAATATTGTCCATTCACGTCAATACACCGCTGCATGCGATGGAACCACTGGGAAAAGCACTTTGCCCACTCGTCCTTAGGGGTCTCTTCAATGGCATCGCGATACGCAGCCACCGCTTCTTCAGCATTCATAAACCGCTTTCCTTTAAGTTTTTCTTTAATTTTTGGAAATAAATAAAAATCACAAGGCGCGAGGTCGGGGCTATACGGCGGGTGACCCAGTAATTCAACGTTTGATGTCGCCAAATAGTCGATCGTTCGCTTGGCGGTGTGCGACGAGGCGTTGTCGTGGTGAAGGAGGATCCTACTGCGAGGTCGTTTCTCTCGAACTTTTTCCAAGACAAGTGGCAAACAATTGGTAGTGTACCATTCTGCAGAAACTGTTTTTTGATCCTCTAACACAATTGTTGCAAAATGACCTATCCTTCCAAAGAACGAGGCCACCATTTTTTTTCCCGCACTTCGATCTCTCTTCACTTTAGTTGGCAACTCCTCGAAAGGAAACACCCACTGAGCAGATTGTCTTTTGGTTTTAGGATCATAACAGTAAATCCAGCTTTCGTCACCTGTTAGTATGTCGAACACAGCATTTGAGTCACCTCCGTTAAATCTTTCAATCATTTTACGACACCAATCCACACGATGGAGTTTTTGAGCCTCAGTCAAATTATGAGGTATCCACCGGGCGCAAAGCTTCCTGACCGCTAAATGTTCGTGGAGGATTTTGTGCACTTGACTCATACCGATGCCTAAGCTTGTCCGAATCTGTTGATAGGTCACTCTTTTGTCAGTCTCTATCATACGCCGCACAACACAGATGTTATCTTCAGTCGTCGCCGTAGAAGGCCGTCCCTCACGTAAATCATCAGTGAGATTAGTGCGACCACGTTTAAACTCATTAAACCAGTTGTAAACAGTCGCACGAGATGGGGCTTCATCGTGAAAGGCCAATCGTAGTCTATCATAACTTTCTTGTTGACTTAAATGACATCGAAAGTCATAAAAAATCATTGCACGAAAATTTTCTCGTGTTAAATTCATGATGACGTGACACAGACAATTTTCAATTTGCCGCCAAATCGTAAAACAAATGACAAATGAATGAAATATATACTCAGTAATATTGGCAAAGAGTTATATTTTCAAATTTTAGAATTATTTTTTTATTATATTGTTTATAAGTGGCCAGTTCTAAGAACTTTCAGTTTGACCCTCGTATACCAAGATAAGGATCTCGTAGCTGATTTTGGACTCTACTCCTAAAAATATCTACATTGCCTGTAGCTACGCATCGCATTAATATATAAGGACAAGAACTGATGGTAAATTATAAACCCTGTGTTAAAATTTTGTCCCACATGGTCCACAGGACAAATATAGGGAAACCAGCAAATATGACAGGCTTGTATTAGAGCAGTGTGAAAGCTATAGACTAACCGTATAGATTGTGCAAATTAATAGGGATGATGACTAGGTAAAAAAAATGCAATTCTATTTAGTCCGTCACTCAGATAATAGTAAAATATTAGTCACATATTTTTTTTTTTTACTTCAATTTAACAAGAAATAGCTTAGATAACAGGCATTAAAGTTGAGGAGGGGGGGCTCGCTACGTCACAGTTGAGTAGAAAACGTACTCTAACGTGACATCATGCGAAATTTCAACTCAATGTAACGCCGTAATTTTATAAAAAATATGTGTTTAATATTCTTTAAAACTCTACCTGACGGACAAACAAACAAAAATTAGTCATCATCCCTATTATTATAATAACAACATTATGAGTAAGTTAAGGATCAATGCTATTGTAACACGCAAATTTTTAAAATACCTTTCTGTTCTGATTTAGATTGCTTAACAAATTAATTTATATAGAAGTGTACGCGCTCTAACCGTACACTTAAGCGTCACTCGACACCGTACACACTGCCGGTCGTGATTAGTAACAACTGTTGTTTGTGTCTGTGTAATGGCCAGGCGTTAATTGATCGCCGCGAAGTCGCTAGTTCGACGCTATGCAGCCGCTAGCAGGTCCAGTTGGGAGCGAGCTTATATTTAGATTAGTAGGGTGGCCATTGTTTTAGATTTTAATGGAGAATACTTGGTTTTTTCTTAAAATGGAAATAAAACCCGATATGTACGATTGATGTCGTAAAACCATATCGAAATTTTTGTGGAGTTTTTACTAGATAACTAAAAAACTGATTATCTTATTTAAAGTACTTTGAATTCTCCTACATTTTTTCCCTTTCACGTTCAGGACGCCTTTTGGCTAATAAGAAGAAAACATTTTAAAGTACTTAAAAATATAACTCATTTGGCTTTCAAATATTTGCATGATGTCAGAATCTATCCAATGGGTCGTCATAAGGCCAATTTTCGAAATAGGATAAGCTCGCATTGCGTTTAAATGCAATTGTGACACCGAAAAAATGTAAAACATAGCTTTACAAGCGCACTCGTTAGCCAACTGGAAAAAATCTAATTATACTTTAAAAAAAAAGAAGCTTTTTTGTTATAAAATATTTTAATCTCATTTATGGAATTTTACACAAGTCCTTAAATATTTCTTACTCATCGGCAGGAAAAAAACATGCATAAAATCGCAAACTTAGCCTGTACAAGGGAGATACAAGGAATTTTGCATATTATTTTAAAAGTCTATTAAGATTATTGTTAATGCTCATTACGATACTAAAAACTTAAATCTTCCTACCTAGTTATTTTTATTTACAAACTCAACCGATTATATTCACAAATATTGTATTGTATTAAAATAATTCGCAATTATCTTACCTTACCAATGAAACTGGTTTAAAACAGAACAAACTATCCCCAGCATTTCGCAAGCGTAGCCACCTTAGTCACGGTAAAAACCGAGAATACTGACCGTTTGATGTGCGCCGGCGTCGTGTCGTAAACGTGTACATGTGTATGTGTTTATACACGCGGTCTGCAAAGTGACTTAGGGCTGCCTATTTTATATCTCATTCAAAAGCAAACAAAACCAAATGTGTTATACCTCGTTTACTGAAAATAAATACTGCTGTTGGAGTAGCAAGAGATCGCGAAACTGAATTAATACGTTCGTACGTATTATTTACTGTTAATTAAGAAACTTTCGCCAGAATTGGTCATAGGATAGGCAACCAAATATATATTGTTTTGAGTTGCTCCGGGCTTCAGAAGGTATGTTAAGCCGTTGAATGCGACATCTGCAATTGTTAACACCCATCAATTTTTATTTCTGACTCCATCCATATGCTGATGATAATGATCTCACTGTGCGAGTCACACATGACAGAAGATCTTTGTTAGAGACGGACATGCATGATTTGAGTGTCCTACATTGAATGCTCGAATTATTCTGATACCAATGCTTATAATACAATGTGTCTTTTCAGATGTCGGACATCATTCAGCTCACAGGATCCGATCCCGCAAAAATAGCAGGAGACATCGGGCGACTAATGGTAATAAGAAAAAATAAATTAAAGAAAAACAAAAAACCCGACTGCGTAAAAACAAATTTTAAAAAATACACGAAAAAATTAACTAAATAAAAACTAAAAAGAAAAAAAACAAGCCCAGTAGTTTAGAATTCTGTTAATTAATACTAATTAACGACACAATTAACATAGTTTTATAATCGATACACACATAAAGCAAATAATAAATTCTAAAGCAGAACAGAACGACTCACAGTCGGGTCCATTCAAATTTTACCAATCAAATCTTCCATTTTACTAATCGACTATGAGTCGTTTAAGTTATTTTTTTTAATAAGTGTCATTAACAATGCTTTTTGTTTATATTTACGCGCTACAATTATGCTTTTGCTTTATGTAGTTATTGCGCATTTGAAATTTTTGGCAACCCTGCCGAATGCTTTGATGAAGTTTAAGGTTTGTTGTAGTTTAATACTTGTGGCTTGTTGTATGATAGTCGGAAGGGTTTTATTGGGTTTGTGGTGGATATTATTGTGCTATTTTACGTTTGTTATAACAGCTTTGGGATTAGTTTGCTAATTAAATGTGGGTAACATATATGGCTTAAGATATTATTATTTGCTAAATAATTTATCAAAATTATTTCTTACATAATTTTCTCATTTTCAGAACTATTTGTTTATTTCTTTTTTTTAAACTTATTTTCATTTATAATTTACACTCGGACATTGAACTACTGCGAAAGTCGATACATAATCATAGAATTTCACCATAAAAAATCCTAAAATTATGACAAGATTTTACAAAGAATATTTATTGCCAACGTTCTTGATTGTAACACAGAATAATTGTAATTTATAATAAATGAGTACATGAGCGACATCTGGTGTGCAATAGCGTCATTGATATTTTGTTTTGTCTGCCCGCAGACGGCAAACTGCGTTTCGAGCCGGAGCCTTATAGCCGGAAACTAGAGTTGAATAATCCCGGTAAGATACACTGCAAAGTAGCTGGCGGTGTTTCACCCACTGTGCAATGGTATTTGGTGAGTAGTTTGTTTGTTATTTTACACCTAAAATATTTCCACGAATTACACAGTCGATTGGCGCTGAAAATACGTTGAAAAGTTTTTCTTTGCAAATTTTGTCAAAATAATTATGTTTTATGATGTTTCAGAACGAGGTCGATCCTCTGCCGGAAGGTGTAAGTTCAACTAACGGCACGTTGGTCGTGGTGGAGGCGGCCCGTCGTCACGCCGGCCAGTACACATGCAAGGCCGTAGACGGAGATAACACCATCACATCCAAAATCAACCTCGATATTGTTGGTAAGTAAGCAAAAATCATCGCTGATTTTACTAGCCGTTATTATTATTATTTATTCTTGTAAAGGGCTACAGTCACTGCGACCTTTAAGATCTATTGTGACTCGCCGCCAGCCCGGTAGACTTCAAAAAGTCTATAATATTCATGTCTTTTAAAGATTTTATATCTTCTGGGCTGATTATATGTCGTCCCAGATGTATACTTCGTTTGTGGATCAGTGGTCCACATTCACTCAGGAGATGTTTTGGTGTTTCACGTTCCTGTTACAATATCTCCAAATGTCAGTGTCACTTAGTTTCATGTTAAATAGGTGTCAGTTTAATTTGCAGTGTCCAGATAAGCTTCGTACAATTGTACTTTAATTTGTTCTGTTTAGCTCCAAGAGCTCTTACTAGCCGTTACTTTCATCCGGTTTTTGAAATTTTGAAACCGTACTTACACCATCTTAAACGTCAAACTTTTCGTTTCTGATTTAATTTTTTTAATGATCATTTAATAGCAGCTTTATAAAACTAGGACTTTTTTCCATGTGAAATGTAAAAAACTTAAGTTATTGAGAATAATCAGTTGAGATTTCGTACTTTACACAATTCTGAAATCGGCCGTAGAGTTTGCTGTCGACGACCGTTACTCAATGATGTCAGAGACACATCAAACGGTACCCTCGACATACAATTAATAATTGTATTTAAACTCGCCTTAGTTAGATGAGTTGTGGTTTGATTTTATTAAATATAGATTATGAAACTTAACAAATAAGAATGATTCAAGTATAGCACCATCGTGTGATCATCCAGTACCCATCTGCCTGACCCCCGGTATTTGTGAATGAGACGGACAATGCTTAATGCTTGCATATTTTAATGGTTAATATTTCACACCTTATGTTTATGGAAACAATGCTCACTATACATTTTAAATTTAATCATACTTTCGGTCATCGACGGAAATTCACTATTGGTAGGTATACTCTGCGCAGACGGAAGATCACCGTGCGCCATATGGGTATTTAATCAAAGTACAGTGACTAGTAGGTACTGTTCGTTACGTGTGCAGTGTCACCGCGCGTGGTGGAGCCGTCCCCGGGCGAGCAGCGGCACGCGCGCGTCGGCTCCGACGTGGCGCTCGCCTGCCGCGCCACCGGCGACCCGCTGCCCGCCACCCAGTGGGACCGGAACAGGACCATGCTCAAGCTGCAGCGTGAGTTATATATAAATACAGCTACACCACGTACTCATACGACGACCTCCGTAGCCGAGTGGTCCGCACGCCGGTTGATGTCCTCATCTCTGAGGTCTCAAGATCAAATTCCGGTCAGATTATGTGGAAAATGAACTTTTCCATATTGTCTCGGGTCTGGGTGTTGTGGTAACCCTGTTGTCTCAGATACTTCATAACTTTACAACAGAGCTTTAGCTCTCATCTTTGAATTAGAGCAAAGTATGTAATGTTGTCTAATGTTTAAAACAAACGCATGGCTCGTTAGTTACTTGAAATATGCAACAACGCAAGTCGAGTTAATTTTTTCATATGTTTATATGTAAAATCCAAAATGTGTTCGATAAAAACACAAAATAATAATAATAAAAAAACTGCATTTATAACAAAAGATATTCTTTTTTTTTTATCAAAAACAAGTTCTTAAAATAATTATGTACTTATGGTAGTTGTTTTTGGTATGTTATTAAGATATCACTTTATTAGACAAAATTCTTCTTTGTAACACTGATAGGTCGTACAAGTTTTGTTAGTAACGTTAGAAGTGCTCTCAAAATTAGTTTTTTTATTTTTCAAAATTATTCATGGAATTATCGCCTGCGTAGAAGTCGCGTACTTCGAAGGCAGGTTAAACCGTTGGTCCCGGGTTCATCTGCCATCGTTAACATTCACCAATCAGCACTGAGCCCGCGTGGTTGGTCATTGGCCATTCTTCTTATTTGATTGGATTTCATCCATAGGGAAGGCCTGAGCCCTAGCAGTGGGAACATCAATAGACTGGTGATATGACATACATTGCTCTGATATGACATATGATATACAAGATGAGAGCTGAGGCCCCAGTATTTGTTTGGAGTTTCTGAGACGACGATGGTACCATAACATCCAGACACGAGACAATATAGAAAAATCCATTCTCTGCATTGTGGCTCTTAAGTTCTCAACTAAATAATCTATATATATAAAACTCTTGCGTTACTGAGCGACTGACTGACTGACTGACAGACAACGTACAACCAAAACTACTGAGCATAGAAAGTTGAAATTTGGAATGAAGATTCCTTAGGGAGTGTAGAGGAACACTAAGAGAGGATTTTTGAAAATTCCACCCTGAAGGGGTTAGCTAAATGAGGGGATGAAAGTTTCTATAAAACTTCGTTACTACAAGTACTAGGAGTTTCAAATTTTGCATGCGAGTTCTATTTAGGACGTAGGTGCTCACTAAAACGGGATTTTATGAAATTAGACTCCTAAGGGGGTAAATTAGAGATGAATGTTTTTATAAACTTTTTCATTTCTGGACTTAATACTAGACCACACCGGCGAAGTCGCGGGCAAAACCTAGTAAAAAATAAAAAAAATATCCCCGAAATCTTTGAATGTTGTAATTGATCCTATGGTTGAATACCCATACTTTAATGTGCTTGAGATATACTCGTATATACTTAGTATGATAAGAGATATTCAAAGTTGACTATTATAAATAAAATAAATTTCAAAAACTGAAAACCGAAATAAACATAAATCACAAACAAAAATATTGTAGATTTTTATTAAAAAATATAATCATATTCAGTGATAATACCATAAAACGTTCTAGCTATCACAATCGTTTTTGCTATGGTTTCGACTTCACTATACTATATTACAATTGTTATTTTCCTTTTTTCCAGAAGATGGCGTTGATGTCGAGGATGGTGTTAATGCCTCAACAGCAAGGTATTAAGCATTACTTTTATATTTTCCCAATAAAAATACCAGTTTACACTAATCACTTTTCATATTTAAGGCATGATGTTTTAATGTGGATATGCCTAAATAACATCTTAATATAAGCCCATCAATTACCATCCCCTTACATCGATAACTATTTTACTATTAGTAAACTTATGAATGACCCAAACTATTGGGGGTGGTGATCCGGCTTGAAGGACCAAACTGTAGACGATGCTGTATAACCGTGGATGATGGTGAAAAACAAAGACGGATTTCTTCTATAGGCGATTTATTGTATTTTCTTCTTACTGGCTACTTATTACTGCTTGACTATACTGCTTGACTGACTTGACTTGACTTGACTTGACTTGACTTGACTGACTACTTGACTGACTACGAATATTTACAAATTTGGCCCTACCCTTATTCTAAACTTAACATCTAACTTAGCTACTAGTGACGCGCGGCGGCCGACCAATCACAGCGCGTTTTACGCCCGCGCGCCGGGTGGGGGAATCGCCCCCACCGTGCGGACGGCGCCTACGCAGCCAATGGGCTCCCCGATAATTCCGCTAATGTAGGCGCTGTGATTGGTCGTTCGATCTGTACATTTTTCGGCACGTGGCTGTCTTCAACAGTCTCCCCCCGGCGAAGGATCTCCGCAGCCTCCTCCGGTTGGCAGCCCGTGCCCGTCGCGCAGCGCGTCCTCTCTCATCGTTCCGTGGAGAGTGCAGGTTCGACGACGATCAGCTTCGATGTCGGCCGCCGAAATGTTCCTCCTCTTGTGGTTATCTCCACGTTCCGAATCACGCCGTCAGGTCCAGGGTAGGTATTGGCTACGATGCCGCGTGGCCACGTGTTTCGAGGCAGAGCGTGGTCGGCTATGATAACCACGTCTACGGTCCGTACTTCGCTGCTTCGTGGACGCTGTGGGTCGCGGCGTGGTACGAGGGTCGGTAGGTACTCTCGTAGCCAGCGTTTCCAGAAGGCGTCGGCTAGTGCTTGCGTCGCCCTCCAAGTCCTGCGGTCGCCCTCTTCACATGGCCCGGTGTATGGAAGGCCGGTCGATGACCCCAACAAGAAGTGGTTTGGGGTTAGCGCCTCCGGATCGCTTGGGTCTACGGAGACATGCGTCAGTGGTCGCGAATTGACAGCATGTTCCGCCTCGGCCAGTAGAGTGTGCAGGACCTCCTCTTTCGGTGCTCGTTCGTTTAATGTGGCGTTGAGCGCGGTTTTCACGGAGCGAACCATGCGCTCCCAGGCTCCGCCTTGGTTAGGTGCTCCCGGCGCGATGAATTTCCATGTGGCATCGTAGTTCATCGCCTCTCTCTTCAGCTCGGGAAGCCACTCGGTGTACGCCTTCTTGAGCTCGGTGTCAGCCCCTCGGAAGTTAGTGCCGTTGTCGCTATATATTACGGCTGGCCATCCTCGTCGTGCTGCCATTCTTCGTAGTGCCGCTTCAAGTTCCAGGCGCGGTACGGTTTGGGTCTTCAAGGGCGAGACCTTAGCTCTTGCCGCTATCAGAACTGTCTCGATGACATGGCCGGGTCCGTAGTGCAACCTCCAATACGCCGCCGTTGCGTAGGCTTCTTCGCTGGCGTCGCAAAATACATGAAGTTCACGGCGACGCACTTCTCTCCCCCCGTTGTAACTACGGGGTAGCCGTAGTTGGTCGATTGCTGGCAGGCTTGTCAACCATGCATCGAAGTCCTCGCTCAAGTCGGATGGTAGAGGGTCGTCCCAGCCGGTCTTGAGGCGCCATAGTTTTTGAAGAGTTATCTTCGCTGTGATTGTGAAGCAGCTGAGCAGTCCGAGCGGATCGTATATGCTCATCACCGTCGATAATGCTTCTCTTTTCGTCGGCGGGCGTTGTCGAGACTTCACTGGCAGTGGGACTCTAGGCAGGGCGGTATTGAAGCCCAGCCGATCGGTACTCGCATCCCAAAGCAGGCCCAATGTCTTCTCTGCGTCTCCAAACGTCGTAGTCCCGCTTTTGGCTCTACTATCCGGGCTCACGGCTTGTAGAAGCTTCCTGTTGTTGCTGTTCCATCCCCTCAGGTGGAATCCAGCCTTCTGGTGCACTGCGTCGACTTGGGTGATGACTTCGTGGGCCTCTCTCGGATCATTGAAGCTGTCGACGAAGTCATCCATGTAGTGCGCTTCGGTGATTGCGCGCAGTGCTGCAGGGTGCGTCTCAGCGTTGTGGTCCCTCACGCTGTGTGCGAGGAACGGTGAGCTCGATGCGCCGAAGATCATCGATGTCATCTTCAGCTTGCGCGGTGGTTCATTCTGCCTGCAGTCGCGCCACAGGAACATCTGTGCGGGTTGGTCCTCGCGGCGTATCTTGATTCGCAGGAACATTTCCTCGATGTCAGCTGTCACTGCGTATGCGCCCTCTCGGAACCGGAATAGAATGGTCTGCAGCGATCGTAGCAGATCCGGCCCTTCGAGTAGGTGATCGTTCAGGCTGACAACTCGAATTCTTGCTGCCGCGTCGAAAACCAGTCGCAACTTCCCGGGCTTATTGGGATTCTTGACGGCGAAATGCGGCAGGTACCATGCGACGGGGCTTGCGTCCTCGGAGCCGTCGCAGGGTTCGGCGTATCCTTTTTCTAGTAGGTTGTCGATCCTCCGCTGGTATTCTTCCCTGTCGCGTGGATCTTTTCTCAACTTGTTCTCTAGATTGGTGAGCCGGCGGAGTGCTGAGTCGTAACTCCGTGGCAGTTTGGCGTCGTCGTTTCGCCAAGGCAGGCCCACTTCGTATCTGCCGTCCTTGTGCTTCACGGTGCGTTCGAACGTGGAGACGGCACGCTTGTCCTCTTCGCGGACGTGTGATGCGTCGAGCGACACTCCGAGTGAGTCGATCCGGAAGTGTCTCGACACGAGTTCTTCGAGTCGGTCGTCTGATGCTTCGGTCGTGACGACATGTAGGATATCCTCGGTGCGGCGAAGCGATCTCGATGGCGCCGTCCCGTGGATTACCCATCCGAGTTCGGTTTTGGAGGCAGCTGGTTCCTTGGTTTTTCCTGACCGTAGTTCGCGGGTCACTATGAGCTCCCAGTTGTCCGTCCCGATCAAAATGCGAGGCTTCGCATTCTTGTATACGACTTCTCGCTCGTCGAGATCTCTAAGGTGTCGTAGCTTCATCGCCTCCGCCGGTATCGATTGCGGCGTGAGGTCCAGGCCCACCATGGTGCGAGCGTTGATTTTGAAGATCTGGTCACTGCGCGTTCCCTTTATTCCAATCTTCACTCGACGGCTCTGCACGTGACTTTGCTTCTTATTTATTCCTCGGACGTTGAGCTGTGCGGTCGGTCCGTCGGCGCCGATCTGTCGCGCCAGGTCGTCGTCTAATAAGGTGACCGTCGAGCCTTCGTCGAAGAGCGCGTAGGTGTCGCAGCTCCCACGTTTGCCCGTGATTGTCACGGGGCAAATCTTCAATTTGACGGCGCGGCTTGTCGTCGTGGCAGCCGTCGTCGTTTCGGTGGTGGCTGGTTCCGTTGCGGCCGCGTTTGAGTCGGTCGCGCTCGTAGCCACGTCGTTCGTCGTTCCACGCTCATCTGCGTGCAACAGTCGGTGATGCGGTCGCTTGCATCCGTTGATTCCGCAGAGCTTCTGTCGGCAGTTCAATCGACGGTGTCGGCCCACGATGCATTTGAAGCAAAGGCCCTCCTTCTTCACCAGCTCCCATCGGTCATCATACGTTAGCTGCTTGAACTTTGGGCAGCTAGGTAGTGTGTGGGCTTCCTGGCATGAAAGGCATCTGCGCTGCGGTGCTTCTTCGGTGGCGACGTACACCGTCTTCTTCTTAGCCTCCGGTCTGGGGGCGGGGCGAGGCGTTTCTCGTGTTCGTTGCGATGTGGAGGGTGCGGTGAGGTTCGATACATAGTTGTATCGCATGCAGCGGTCAGCTTCCTTCATCAGGAACGATGAAAGTTTTAGTAGATCGGCGTTCGGGCCCGGCTGTGACTCGGCGAAGTTGCACCAACTCGATACAAGGTAACTTGGCATCTTGTCTAAGACTTCCCGGGTCAGCAGTGGGTTAAGTAGGTACTCTGGCTGCACGTTCCTCAGGACGGCCACGACGTTCTGTAGCTTCACCGCAAACATGTTAAGATCGTTCGCGGTAGGTCCAATCTTCGGCAGCTTCCGTAGATCGGCGAAAGCCATGTCCACTAGTCTTTCTGGCCTTCCGTAGCATTGCTCCAGTGTTCGCATGATCTCGTCGGGGTGCGTCGCGGTGCTCAACAATGATGCGACGTTTTCCCGCGCTTCTCCACGTAGGCAGTTTCTTAGTCTTGCCATATTCTCTGTAGGTGTGAATTCGTACAGCCGCGTTGTTTCTCGCATCGCAGTCGCGAACTGTAGCCATTCCAGCGGTGAACCAGAGAATATCGGTAGATCCGATGCTTGACGCGGCGGCGGTCGTGACTTCACGAGAGTTTCGAGGACAGAGGCGAGTTGATCGATGCCTCTGCCTCGCGATGACGACCGTCTTCGTTCTTCCCTATCTGGGCGTCGCGTGTCGCGTTCAGGTGGCGGTTCAGCCACGGCGGTTCTTGAGAGCTCCCCCCGTTGTTGGTCGACGTTCGCGTCGTCGAGCCACTCGAACACTCGATCTTGCAATTTATTTGCCGGTTCTTCAGCTTCGGGTTCGCTCTCTGCTCCGTCTAGCGTTTCTAACTCGATATTGAGCGTCTTTTTTATGAGGTCCGCTTCAATTTCGAGTTCTCGGCGTCTTATGGCAGCCAGTCGTTCTTCTGCCTCGATGCGTAGCTTCCGGCGTGCCGCGTTGCTCGCTGCCGAGCGGGTCGAACGCGCGACGTGCACTCTCCTCGCCGGTTGCACCGATGACGTCATCGCAGATGTCGTTATGCCAGTAGTCGCCGCTGTGTCCGTTGGGTGTGCTGCGCGTTCGTCCGCTCCGCTCGGCGGCTGCGTAGTCACTGCCAAGGCGACGCGTGCTCCGGCAACGTCTGCCCCAGCGCGGTTCGCGTTAGGCGCTAGTTGCGAGACTTGCGGTGCGGTGCGTAGGCTCTCCCCGGCGTTACCCGTCTCGAGGCGTCCTCGTACGGTCGGTGTACTTGAGGGCGATCTCGGCGGCTGGTCGAAGACACGACGTTGGTTTTCTTCGTCTTGGCTTCTTGTAAGCACCATCTTGATTCACTGTTGCTGGATCTCGAAGGTTCTATACGTGTTTAGATCCGGCTTCTCGAAGGACCAAAACTATTGAGGGTGGTGATCCGGCTTGAAGGACCAAACTGTAGACGATGCTGTATAACCGTGGATGATGGTGAAAAACAAAGACGGATTTCTTCTATAGGCGATTTATTGTATTTTCTTCTTACTGGCTACTTATTACTGCTTGACTATACTGCTTGACTGACTTGACTTGACTTGACTTGACTTGACTTGACTGACTACTTGACTGACTACGAATATTTACAAATTTGGCCCTACCCTTATTCTAAACTTAACATCTAACTTAGCTACTAGTGACGCGCGGCGGCCGACCAATCACAGCGCGTTTTACGCCCGCGCGCCGGGTGGGGGAATCGCCCCCACCGTGCGGACGGCGCCTACGCAGCCAATGGGCTCCCCGATAATTCCGCTAATGTAGGCGCTGTGATTGGTCGTTCGATCTGTACATTTTTCGGCACGTGGCTGTCTTCAACACAAACATATTTAGAGAAATAAATTCAATCAAGTCCCGAAGTCATATCCATATTAACATATACACACTTGGTTCCTTTTAGGGTATTGGTGTTGAAGAACGGGACTTTACTGATACGTAACGCGACGGAGCAGGACTCTGATAGATACGGTTGTATCGCCGGCAATGCTGCGGGACTAGCGCGGAATGAGCTAGTACTTACTGTACATCCCGGTATGTAATTATTCAACGTTACGCTTAAGTTGTGTATTAATGCTTAATGAGCTCTATCAGTGTTCGATCTTTATGCATTAATGGTCGGTCTACGGACGGAAGGGTGCAAGAAAATTATTACAGGGGGGCTGTCCTCTCCCTCCTCCTATGCTTCAAATATCATGTTCAGTCGTCGGTCACAGCTGCATTTGAAATCGATAGTCTAATCCCCATTGGGCCCGAACGGTGGCGATGTGTTTCTTTTTTTTTCTACATGGAAGGCCTGTTAAAATACACATATTTCATAATTTGAATTTGAAAACCATGGTGGAACATTATCAAGTAGATATCTACTGCTAATAGATGGTATTTAATGGCTTATTCATATGAAGTCTTTTCCCGGTTCAAACGTTATTATAATTGTTTATTTAGAAAAAAAAAACAGATAAAACCATTTTTCATGAAAATATTGTGTCAAGTAAAATGAAATTTTATAAAGGGATAAAATTATTTTGTCACAGAAGATGAAATGCCGGCATCAGAATCGTCCGGTGTGGGTGGCAAAGCGGTGGTGGTATCTATATCCGTCGCAGGCGCTTACATGTTACTAGTGCTGGCTCTCATGCTGTACTGTAGAAGGAGGCGGCTGAACAGAAGACAGAGAGGTAATTATACCCTGCCAGCTATAGACGGCGGCTCAACAGGAGACAGAGGTAACTATACCTTGCCAACTGTAAAGGAGACAGCTCAACAGGAGACAGAGAGGTAACTCTACTCTGCCAGCTGTAGAAGATAGCTCAACAGGAGACAGAGATGTAACTTTACTTTGCCAGCTGTAGGAAACAGCTCAACAGAAGACAGAGAGGTAATTTTTCCCTGCCAGCTGTAGGAGACAGCTCAACAGGAGACAGAGAGGTAACTTTACCCTGCCAGCTGTAGGAGACAGCTCAACAGGAGACAGAGAGGTAACTTTACCCTGCCAGCTGTATTGGTTTGTCCGTTCAGCAAAAAACATATTTTTTTAATATTTAAAAAAAATATACCTCATACTATTTATATGTTTTCTCTTTAATCGTGTCGTTAATTTCAATAGGTGAAAAAGAAGAATTAGAGATGGCAGAAGGACGTGAGAAGTTAGTGGAAGAAGAAGATAAGAAAGTCGGCAATGGAGCTCCTGCGCCTAATGGGCGCTTGTTGCCGCATGACAGAGATAGTGGTATGTATCTATTAAAATAGGGTGTACCATATTTTTTGGATAATTATTTTAAATTGTCATGATAGAGATGACTCATAGTCGTTAAAAAGTATTATGTTTTAAGATCTATGTTGTGTCCTTAAAAATAATCAATTCATTACTTCATTGATATAACTGTAAAACAATAGCTTATCAAATTATCGCAATTTATTTTTACTTAGCTATTAGCGCAATAAAGTTTTAAATCAATTAATTCAAAAAAGGTGACTCGTTTCTAAGATTATTTTTTCATTATAGGCGCTGATAACTCTGAAGTGTCAGCTGTATCGAGAGCATCTAAGAAATCAGGTCAATATGACCATCTAGCCGTCCCGAGGAGCTTATTGGTAGATCAAATAACATTAGGTGAGTTTTGTTAAAGTATTAATGATTAACTGTATGTAAATCTTTATGATCGGTAAATTGACTTACTTATTTGTGGAGTACAAGCCTGTCCTATTGATGGAAACAAATAGTGAGGTACATGTGATAACCCATCACGTATTCCAGTACGGATTTCGTATGTTAGGAACTGCAGCTACAACTGAAAGCAGCGGCTTAATGTGCTTTTGAAAGCACTAAAGATCTTAACGTTGAGATATTTTTTTGATCACCCATCCTATAACCGGCCGTTTCGAAAGTTGCATTACTTTTCAGTGCAACACACTTACTATTGCACTTAAGATATTACTACATTGATGTTTATAATTTTTTTTTTATTAGAAAACTCAAAATTGACCATCGGATGAGGCCCATTCAGCCGAGTTGTATGAAAAATCTATGTAACGTAAATTTTACGTTACACACATTTTCTTTTTAATCGAAAGTCTAAAAATATTTCTTTTGGCTGCTTAGATGACTAGCTTAAACATTGTTGATAGTAGCAAAATCATTAATCACAAGTAGCGAAAGTAACAAGCGTTTGAGAAATACGACAGCCTCGTTAACTTTCGTCTAGTTTTTTCAAGACCTGTTGTAAGATTTCTCGGCATACTAAAAAGTATAGCACATATACTTTATTCTGTAGTATATCTGTAATATTAATCAGTTATCATTTTGTTATCAGGACGTGGTGAATTCGGTGAGGTGTCTCTTGCTAAGATAGACATGTGCCAAGTGAAGAAGCTACGCAATAAAGACTATGCTGAGACAGAACCTAAGATGATACATGTGCTTGTCAAAGCGTTGACTGCTAAAGACGAGGTGAGACAATTATTAATGCAACTATTTTCAGTTGCAGTGAAACCTTTGAACAGGTTTTATGAGTTATATTAACATAGATAATCTCTTGAATAAATAATTAAATTATAATGACAATAATTTTTGGGTATTGAAAAGATTAGCTACATATAAATGCAATTATAATGTTAGAAATGAAAGTACTATTAAATATGTATATAATATGTTGGTCCAGAGTCTTTGAAGTATTCGTGACAAATTTCATCAACTCGTTTTTGTGTGAAAATGTTACAAAGTTTTGTTATACTTGTAAATAATTTCACGAGATCGTAGCCTCTAAGCCGACTTTATACGTTTTGGTAGCTTTATTACCAGCGTAAATCTAACTCAAGATCTGTCAAGCATCTCATGGAAGTAAACGTTAGAAAGCTATGGACCTTCATTTGAGCAAGTTTGCAAGTTTGAACATTATTTTATATATTTGTTAGTTCTCCAGTTCAGTATGCATCGATCCTAAGTCTACGTATAAGTATGTTAATGTGGATATGAAGGAAGTCATATCCACATTAATATACTTATATATTCTGACGAACGAACATTGGTATATTCTGACGAACAATAAAGCCGGTCATTCTTTTTTTGCCTTGTGAATATACTCTTAAAACAAATTTCGATATTTCGCGAAAATTGTGCTCTGGTTCTACTTTATGATATTAAAAAATTCATATATTAGATCAGGATAAATGGTAAAATAGAAGAACATTTAAATTTATTAAATCGTTTGTTTTGTAAAGGTACAATTGGCCGAGTTCCGTAGACAGCTTGAGTTGTTCAGTCGCGTTCGTCACGATAATATAGCTCGTCTGATCGGACTCTGTAATGAGATGGAACCGCATTGTATGCTGTTGGAACATACGGATTGGGTGAGTTTATTTGCATTTAGCTATTTAAGAAAATCAACTCCATTATATAATAATTTATATATAATCTAGTTTTCCGCCAGCGGTTTCGCCCGCGTGTTTTTGTATTATACATAAAAACCTTCCTTTTGAATCATCCTATCTATGAAAAAAACCGCATCAAAATCCGTTGCGTAGTTTTAAAGTTTTACGCATACAAACCTATAAAGGGACAGAGAAAGCGACTTTGTTTTATACTATGTAGTGATATATAATGTTCCAGATGTGGATAGTATTGTATTGCACTAAGAATTCTATTTTAGGTTATATAACTGCTTGTACAGGATAATTTTTTATTATACTTATTTGAAAAATGAAAAATGTGAAATTTTATTATTATTAACCGAACCATTTAGTGGGATAAAAAGTAGCTATTATGTTAATCCAGGCTTAGAGTTATCCATATAGCAATTCATCATAATTTAACTTTTACGTGAAAGGGTAACAAATATCCATTCTCCAGGCAGTGGTGTAACTATACCGTATGAGGAGTAAGGAGTCTCCTCTTTCCGGGGCCCTTCCAGCTGGGGGCCCGTGGCATTTTGCCGACTTGCCACCCTGTAGTTACGCCACTACCCTCAGGATTTGTTATAAGAATACTAAATCATATAGAAAAGTTTGTATACTACCTTCAGGATTTGTTATAAAAATACTAAATCATACAGAAAAGTTTGTGCACTGTAACACACTTTATAAAACACATTTTCCTTCGTGAGTCTTAAAATATCGATGTCTATTCCGAACAGGGTGACCTCAAGAGTTTCCTGATAGCGACCCGCACTGACGAGGAGAACGCCGAGTACATAGAGCGTGTTGGCGTCCCTCTCGCTCCCGCCCCCGCCCGCAGCGCTGTGTCTCTGTCCCCCTCGCACCGCGCCCTCCTCGCCGCCCGCCTCGCCGCCGCCGCGCTACGCCTCGCCTCACATCGCCTCACGCACAGGTCACACTCATTATATATCTGTTTCACGAATAGGCCACACTCATTATGTCTCTGTCTCACGTATAGGTCTCACTCATTATGTCTTTGTCTCACGTTCAGATCACACTCATTATATTTTTGTCTCACGCTCAGGTCACACTCATTAAATAGCTATCTCAAGCGCGGTAAGCTTTCATAATATATCTGTCTCACGCTCAGGTCACACTCGTTATATCTCTGTCTCACGCAAAGGTTACACTCATTGTATCTCTGTCTCACGTTCAGGTCACACTCATTATATCTCCGTTTCACGCACAGGTTAACACTCATTATATATCTGTTTCACGTACAGGTCATACTCATTATATATCAGTTTCATGCATAGACCACACTTATTATGTCTCTGTCTCACTTTCAGGTCACACTCATTATATCTCTGTCTCACGCATAGATCACACTCATTATACATATCTCTGTCTCACGCACAGATCACACTCATTATATTTGTCTCGCGCTCAGGTCACACTCGTTATATCTCTGTCTCACGCATACACAGGTCACATTATATATCTCTGTCTTACTCACTTTATCTCACACACAAGTCACGCTATATATCTTATTGACCTCACATTATGTCACTCACAGATCCCGCTCATTATAAATTTGTTTCGCTCACATTGTCTCACGCTCGTTATTATCCATTATCCTAAGATTGCATAACATAGTGAACTGAGTACTTTACAGATATAATTAATTATGATATATGGTGAAAATGGTAACTTATACATATACATTTACTATGCAGTACTTTTTGTTTGTAAATAAAGTATAGCTATATTTTATTTTTACAAAATCAACCATGATATAACATACTGTGACGTCACATTTATATAAACTAAATATGCAAACTCTTTGTGGCGAGCGCAACCAGTACTGACGTTTATTGAAATATGACGTCACGGCTCTAAATGTCATGTTACTGATTCTTTTCGGAGTGCAATATAAATCAATGAAAAAAAAATAGGTTTTTCCTTTATTTAATAATACTTAAAAATAAAATCTAATGGTGGTATGATCATATGAAAACTTTCAAACACTTACCAAAGCAGCCTAGTATCCAATTGGAAAGGAGCGACAAGGACATTAAAGCTTACTCTTTAATATGACAGTGACACAAAAACGCAAGTAATTTTATAATGTTATAATCAGAGGTCGGAATTAGGTAGAGTTATTTATGTACTTGCATCGAAATGTTGATATTAATGTGGACCTTCCCGGGATTTCTTTATTTCTTCTTTGTTTATTTCTTTCTTTCATTGATGTAGGTTTGGCAAAGTCGTGCGTGCAGTAGTTTAAATTGTGTAAAAGTAAATAACTTTTTATTTAAAAAATCACGGGATTTTTTCTGCTCTTTAAAATTTATCTCGGGATTTGAGGCATATCCACTTTATTCTTTCGCTGTATGAAATCAGTGTAAGTACATGAATAACTCTACCTAATTCCGACCACTGGTTATAATACATAAAATGTTTGTTTTCAACGTAATTAATATTGTTACAGAGATATAGCGGCTCGTAACTGCATCATCACTTCCACTCTCACTCTGAAACTGTCATTGCCAGCGTTGACGAGGGGGCCTAACTCACATGAATATTATAAACATCATGACCAGGTTAGTATGAAAAACAAAATACTGGAACCATAACTAATTAAAAAAACAGTCATGTGCGAGTCGGACTCGCGCACGAGAATTTCCCTACGGAAAACGAGCAAAAATTATATAAGTTGCACAGGGCCCCTTAAATATTTATTTTATTCTGTTTTTTATTATTTGTTGTTTAAACGGCAATAGAAATACAGCATCTGTTAAGATCTCAATTGTTTGACTGTCACGGTTCATAAGACACAGCCTGGTGGCAGACAGGCAGACAGCGAAGTCTTAGTGATAGGGTTGTCGTTTTACCCTTTGGGTACAGAAAGTTCAAATTAGTATGTTTTATATATTAGGGTAGTTTCGATAGTGAAAAATAATTCATGAAATTGCATAAAAACTAAAATTTACATCGTTACAAACATACAGATTCTGATTTTAAATCTTAAAATAGCACGATTATCTTAGAATTTAATTCTATGATAGTCGTGATTTTTGTCTGTGTGTCACATGATTTGAAACACACAACAAATGACGGGATTGTGTGACGTCACTATGGCGACAAAGATGTCAGATTAGTCCAATGTTATACCTATTAATTATAAATCGAATTCCTAGATGGCGCTGTTCTTAGATTATTTATATGGTAATAGATCGTTAGATGGCATTGTTTTTGTTTTGTTGACATTTTTTAATTTCTACTCTATAAATCTGTCTTATGCAAAGACTTAAGGTTTTGAGTACATATCACAATGACGTCATGAATATGACGGACAGCGTTTTAACGGGTATAAAAATAGAATAATTTTTTTTCCAGTCTAAGGCAGTAAAACGTGTTTTTTTTTCCTGAAATATTTGTCTTATTACTTTTTTTTATTAAAATAAACAGTTACAAGTATTATTTCAAACAGAGTAGAATACCCTATTACTATCTTTATTATTCACAGGTGATCCCACTTCGATGGTTGCCATCAGAGGCTGTGATGGAGGGTGATTATTCCACCAAGTCCGATGTGTATATGTTCGCAGCTACAGTGTGGGAGGTAATTATATAATATTACTCACACGACCATAATATGAGTTCATCCAAAAAAATAAATATTTATTCAGTGTAGGCTGTTACAAACAAATAAAGTCGAAAGTTATGCAGTCGGATCGCCAAGGCCAATCGCTGCCGATGTATCCGACTTCTGAGTGGCCATTAAACTTGCGCACGCGCTGTGATTGGTCGATGACCTTAAACATAGTTGCAAATAGCGGGTAATGACTCGCCAATAATCATCTTGATGGCAGTGGTGTAACTACAGCATGGCAAGTCGGCAAAATGCCACGGGCCCCCATCTAGAAGGGGCCCCCGGTCAGAAGAGACATTTATTATTAAGCAATGAGTAAAAAAAAATGAATATCCGATGAATTTGCCGCGGGCCTCAAACGGTATTTTTACGCCACTGCTTGATGGGATGACATAATATAAATTATCAATGTAGTTGCTCATAAAGCGCTATTCTTTTAATCCATTGTAAACACCGAAAGTGTGTCTTTAAACACGTGTTACATAAAAATGTACTGAAATCCTTTACTGCACACGTGCTTAAAAGTATTTTTTAATTTTGTTTTGGCAAAGTAATTTAAAAAAAATTGATGAAAATATGTCAAACTTTAGAGGCAAAAGTATTTCAAAGAAACTAGAACGAATATTTTCAAAAAAGTAAATTTTACCTTTAATACATACTTAGTTTTATTAACCTATATATTTGTTTTATTTTCTCGCAAAAAGCATTGAAAAATGTTGTAAGAAACTTGAGCGTAAAAGGTTTTTCAATTTAGCCCGTATTCGTAAAACCTTACTTTCCACATTCTTATCCTAAATAACTATTAGGACAGTACATACTCCGCTTAAGGTGAGATTGTACGAAATTACCACTTTCTAATACCAATTTTATTGTAAGGCTATGCTAATATTGGCCAAATAAAAATGTAACATATGAACGATTAACAATCAAAAGCCAATTATTGAATTGGCTCTACAGAAAAAATCGCAGAGACTAAAAAGGTAGGAAACGCTTAGGACTCCATTTTAAATTTGTTTGGAACTGTCTGATGTTTGTATTTATTTGTTTAGATTTATACAAAAGCCGAGTTGCCCTTCGCCAAGTTGAACGACAACTCGGTCCTAGAAAGGATGAAAGCGGGCACTTTGGAGTGGTCGATTCCAAGTTCGATGCCAGAAACGCTCGCTGCATTACTTGTAAGTATAGAGAGATATGTTTAATATGAATGTGGAATATAGAGTCTGTTCTGCAACCGTGCCCAGAATTGAGCGTCTCTCGCAAGAGCCGTTCTTAGGATGGGTGACCAGATCTTTTTTTTTTGAGCTCCTCCATGTTTCTGAAGGCATGTTAAGGTTTACACGTGATTAAGTAAATAAGTAGTTAGTTGATTTTCAACTTAATTTTAAATGATGATGTGAGAATGTAAGTTCACCTATAAATAAAAAATAAAATGTAGGTAACTACTCATACGCTTAATTGGATTTGAAATGAGGAAGTAGTTAAAAAACATATTAGTTCCCTAGATCAAACTAGATGTCGCTGCGATACTTTTCTGATTTCTCCATGACAACCCTTACGATTTTCTTTCATGTATAAAAGTAATTAATTTTCAACATTCAATATGCAACTCATATTCTATTTGGATTTTTTTCGTATTTGTATATCTAAGTTTCGAACTTTTCAAATTTCAGCTTTTTTAATATATAAGTTAAAAGGAACGAAAATGACTATCTTTGGTCCAATCGTTTCCTGCATAAATAAATTTTTGGTAGAGTCGCCATCTAGTGAGGTGCATTTTTTTATTTAATTACGTGTAAACGAGCCATAACACTCACTAATCCTCTAGGACCTAGTAGTATAGGTCTCTGAATGTTACGTATATCACGTGACCCAAAACATAGCCGCTATGGTATGACGCCATCAAACCAATTTCTCTGTCATTTGTCAACTTCTGTCGTTAAAAATCGTTTGGTGGCGTTGTTTAGTGGTTATATTTCTATTTTGATCATTATGACGTCACAAACGTGGCTTTTACATTTACGCAGCTGCAAATAAAGTTTTGATTTTATTTTAATGCAATAAAGCGATTCATTTTATTGATTTTTGTGGCTTTCTTATGGCAATATCATGAAAACAAAAATTTTAGTATTTCGTCATAGAAAGTAAAAAAAAAAATGGTGTAAACTCAATCATCTTTTATTTTACAGAAACGTTGTTGGAACAAATCGCCTACAGACAGACCACAGTTCTCCGAAATCAACGATGAGTTAGCGACTATATTGAAATCTGTAACCGCTGACAACCCTACGCAGGAAACCGAAGAAAAGGACGAAGAAATAGAAGCATAAATAAAAGTGAGACGGTGCGTAATGTACGTAACAAATCAATTACAAATTGACACCCAGTCAAAAGCTTCGAGCACTTAATTTTTCTGACAAAAATAATAATATTATATTATTTTATATCTTATCGTTCAAAGAATTAAGACTGAATTCGCACTCGGGTTTTATTACATCAGAACCTCAATGTAAAACAAACGTCGGGTCTTTGAAGTTGCTTTTAATGGCGTTATTGTCTAGACATTTGATATTGTAGTTATCATATTTTTATTATTTAAAAGAAATACGAATCTTTCAAATATGAAATATAGAGTATAACTAAATACAAGTTTAATAAATGTGTCATCCCTAATTGGTATGTCTCAAGTAAGAGTATGGCAGCTTGGGCTTCCCTTTAATCTCGCATATTACACGGTTGTTGTCTAGATATAAACGTCGGCTGAATATAAGAATTATATACATTACCCAACCTTATTATTCTCTAATTGAAATTGTCAATAAGTTTTATTCAAAGTAATGTTTTTAGACTAATATTTCGCAAACTATGGGTCGTGATTGAAAATCGAGTGTTTTGTCACTTTATAAGACATGTATTTATGCCTTCTTTTTCTCTAAAATAGCTGAGCGGTTGGTCTTGATTGGCAAGTTTTGTTGAGACCCCAATCATCTTTGGGAACCACTGGTTTAGACTATTCATAACTGGCCAAATGACAAACAATTAGTATATAAAGGATATTATATATTAAAATGTGCTTTTTTAGATGAAATAACATAAATTATTTTATGTCAAATTTATTTTTATTTATATGGATGAATCTCTCAATGTTACTTAACATAGATTTTCAACACCAAGGTTGAAAATGTAACAATGTGATTTATATTATCCAGGAATGTCAATTCGGATAATTTATTAAAATATTAAATTTTATTTTGATAGTGATAAGGCTGATAATTAAACAAGTAAAGCAAAGCTTCCTTTTATTCAATTTTTAAAATTAGCATGTTAAGTTTTAAGTGTTGCCATGGATGTTTTTAAAAAGTATTTTGATTGGTTAACGGAAAGGTTGTAGATTCAGAGTTTGTGGGGCATTATTTAATCTCCGTATACCCCTTCAAAGGTATAATAATTGTGTTAGCGATTTATTGGATAACGTTTAATCGCTTTTGGAACGAATGGCAATTGGAATGATCGAAAAACATAATAAAAATTTACATAAATCCGTCGAAAGTTTGTAGTTAACATTCAACTCTTGTCGACATTTGTGAATAGCTTTCAAAGATTTGCATCTAAATTTTGCCTAAGACAATTACAACTAACGTCAAATCAACGATATCATTTATTCAATATTTAAAAAAAAACGTCGCCATCGCACTCGCTGTCACATGTCAAAAAGTTGTAACATGAAGTTCGTGAATATCTTTAAAGGGATTGCGGTAGATTTTAAAATTAGAAAATGAGCCACCTGAGCGCAAGGACGGTAAGTCTGAGTAATAGCCTATCAACTTTTACCAGTAATCAGTAGGTTGGCATTCAAAACCCAGTGAGGGGGGCGTTGGTATCCCCTGCCCCTCATCCCATATTCATGCCTATCGTGATGCAGGCTCCCATATGTCAGAATTGTAAAAATGTTTTCAATAATGAGTTTACTGTAGAAAACTTTTTGTATAATCGCGAATAATAAGTCTTTCATATATTATTGATTGCATGTGTAAATTAGATTATATTAGTATAATATATTATTAAGGTATTAAAACTAAAGCTAAACGAAACTGCCACCTTGTAAATATTTATATTAGGATATAAGACTGAAAGTGTAGCCATTTAGATGTAAAAAAAAAAAATGTTATTTTAAGTCGTTCGTCCGAAATTCGTGTAAAATTGACGTCCTGATTGAATCGAAAATTTTATAATCGATAAGTTTTGTATTCTATTTATATTTAGGTAGGATAGAAACTTAGATTATAAACGATAGGATTTTTTTATAAATTAAGATTTTTACTCCCTTTTTTGGAAGGCGAAGGAATTATTTCATGTAGTTGTGTCTTTGGTTTTCTTATGGTGCATTTTTATATTGTTTATTTATCGATAAATATTTTAAGGACCGATGCAATTTGACATGGAAAAGTATTAATAATGATACATTTTATCGACACAGGGAAAGTTATAAGTTGGCTTAAAATATAAACATTACATATACATATATTTCTTTTAAAATAAAGAACCAGTTGCATAAACTTTCATTAAGATTTAGTGACAACTGGAAGCTTTAATGAATGTCTCAAATTAGAAATTTTGTTTTGATAATGTCGCTTTAAATTTTAAAATACCTTTGTGTAACTGATGTCTGATTTTTGATAAAAAAGGATAGGAAGATTTTTTATTAGATTGGATTGAAATCTATTTGTAAGAAATTCTTGCTAATTAAGTAGATGTTATAATGCACTCAAAAACTCCGATCAAATAACGTGCATATTAAATTTCTTAGCCCTTAAAGATGTGAATCTAAAAAAAAAATATGAATTTGTATTTTTTATTGTTGTAAATTATTTTAGTGATACCAGAAGTTGCATTTATAGATTTTTAAGTTCATTCTATTTACTTGGTAAATGATACTTAGTTTTAATTTTATATATTTTATGATTAGCTTTAAGAATTATTTATTTACGAAATTTCTTTATTTGATAAAAGATTTTTCTCCGTAAGTACATAGTATTCAATTTACAACACAAAACCCTTTGAAATCATATAAGCTAATTTTCAAACTGGTAATTCCATTATATTGTAATATCTAGGCCACTCTAGAATCTTGTAAAAATTCCTTAATAGTTTATTATATAAAATTATATTTAATTGAAATATCTTTGTGATTATTAAATGCTCTGTCAATAGTAATACTTTTGATCAAAATTATCTTAATGAAAAGATACTTCAAAATCCACTCTGAGATGGGGTTCGAACCCAATACCTTTCCCTCGGTGGTTAGAGTAGTCACCCGGATTACAAAAGGTCATGGGATCGAACTCAATCTCAGAGTGCCAGGGACAAAGTGGATTTTCAAAGCATTTTTCATTAAGAGTAATACTTTTTTTTAAATTTAATTATTTCTCTCATGTAGGCACTTCACTTGGTCAACACTTATTTTTATCGGTTCTAATATGCAAATAAAACCAACCACTTTTTCGTCAAGTATATTGACTAAACGTGACAGGTCCTTCTCAAATATGCAAAAACGAAAAGGTATAACATAAGATAAAGCCATGCCAAGCGCCGACGTCATAGCAGAAACTTTTTCTAATTCATTTCATGATCGGAAAGTTTCGCTGACCCCTGCTGACGACAAATTATGGTTCTATCGTACCCTAGAGATCAAATTGACAGTGCACCTACAGAAATAAAACAAACCAAATTCACTTTCTGATTTGTGCCGTTGCCACTTTCAAACGTTCATAGCAGAATCGATAAATCATTTTAATTCCTTATTTTTAAATAAAGCTTCAGACACTAATCTGACTTATATTTTTATAAAATACGATGACCGTACCCAATTGTGTAAAGTTTTGTTATTTTTGGGCATCGTTATTTTTCGATTGCATTACGCGCATCCCTATAAATGTCAGTTTGACGTTGATCAGATTCGCGCCAATATTCTTCCATCTGTCATTGTTTTAAAAATATTAGGAGCTGCATATTTATTTAAAATAATATAAATTAAAGAAATAATCATTAGTAGTTTTAGATTTTATACTTTTATATTCAAGGGCATCTTAACTTGCAGTAGGAATAAGATTATTTTGTTTTATATATTAAAAATGAGGCCTATCGTTGTTTAAATACAATTAATTTTGCTTCGGCATCAGCTGGTACATAGTATTGCCATAATTAAGACTAGACTACGACTCGACTAAAAAAAAATTAGGCTTTAACGTGTTGAGTTACGGTGTAGTTTTCGAAGTTCAGCTTTTTAAATTCCTCTGATATAACATATTTACGGTGGAATTTAAAAAGTTCTAATAGGGAACTTGAACTTTATTTTATTACCGTATTAATTTTTTTTTTCGCAATAAATATTGACATGTATTGACGTCACATTTTAACCAGGCCCTTGACCTTTTTGTTGTCGCTCGCTATTGCATATTTACTATTTTCATTTATAGAATTATTTTTATTGTAATATATTTCTTCGTAAATATAATCGTATGGCTGAAACAACTATAGGGACTGGAGAGGAATACAAACTAACAGGCAAGACAGATAGACTGCTAAACGTGGTTTTTTGATGTAGTATTTTTTTAGAGATATTGCTCGAAAATAATAGTTTTGAAAAAAATCTATTACTTTTATTATTGAATGATCAACTTTATAACTCAAAACTCAAGTTCCCTATTGAAATGACTATATGCGAGTCTAGTAAAAAATAATGCGTACATAAATGTGTACTAGCTCTTAAAGTAAGACATCGCTGTTTTGGAATACCTTCATTTATTCGTGTACTTATGTGATGTCGACTGATGTTTTTCTTTAATTAATTATAATTTCCCATATATGTTAGATGTAAGATTTGTACTATTTTTTTTTAATAATTATGAATGTGTAATGTAGGTTATGAATATATTGAAAAAAAAAAATGAATTGGCGTTTTTTAATAAACTTAATTATTTAGAAACTGTTTCGTCATTTCTCCTCTTGGTCTATAGTTTCATCATTGTTATTTTCATCACTTTCTGTCACATCAGCGTAATGCTGTCCCAATAATCCTTCATTTCCATCATTATTGCCATCATTTGCATCAGTTGAAACCTCTTTTTCGTCAACATTTTCATCTCCGTTGCCGTTTTCGTCGTCGCGTTCGTATCCATCATGATTGAGTTCTGTTTGAACATTATCCCCTTCGATAGCATCGTTCGAAGCGTTGAAATTAACAGTGTCGATGTCGTCATTACTGGTTTCTTCGTCATTGAATTTTTTATCACTGTTGTCATTGTGGTTATCTGTATCATCATTCAAGACG